TTAGAAACTAAAAATAATCAAAAAATTCTTTCAAAAGAATTATTAGTTTTGTTAACTGAATACTATAATAATGCATATAATTATAGTTTCAAGTTTATGAGTGATAGAGATATCAGGACATCAGATACTATACCAGGACTCCGAAATATACATAGATAGATCAGGTTAGAGTTTGCTTATTTTTGGCCTTTTTGTGCAGATTATTTCCATTTATAGTAATTAGTTTGCTTAATTTTGACTTTTTTGCAGATCCTTCTATATTTAGTAATTTTTGTAAAACCTTACTCCTCTATACATATTTCAGGGTCCTGCTATACCGGTTTTGCCTAAAGTAATAGAATATGAAAAAGTCAAAATCAAAGATAAAATTTTTGGTTCAATATCCTTGGCAAGACACAAAAGATTTGCAAAAATTTTAGCCAAATTTATATTAAATGATGATTTCACCGACATATATCTGAGTATCATTCAATTCTATTTTAAGCATGTTGTATAGCTACCAGAAGGTTTAAGAAAGCATAGTTTAGTATTTGTGTGATAGTATAAAGCTGTTGACAGCTATAAAATTAGATATCATTGCCAAGTTGATGATATTTGTAATATCGAATTGTGGAATCGAAACTTTTATAATATAAGTAGGGATTGTATAATTCCTATACATAATATTTTAGGTCGATTTGTTTTAAGTACCATTATAGTTAGAAAGAAAAACCTGAGAAAATATGTCTATTATTCCTATTAATAGAAAGTTTCATATTTAATTTATGTACATATAATATAATTTATTAGATATTACTTTTAACCATTTATCATTATAAAAATCTATCATAAATTTATAAATTAATCAATAGTTCTATTGATTTATTTGCTATATTATCTAGGATTAAAATAATTATCTGATACTTAAAATAATATCTATTCAAAATGCACGAGAAAAGTTTGTGTTAGTTATTAAACGCACTGCTTCAAAAAGTTCATTATTTTAAGCCCATTATAAGATCATCTTTATAGAAATAAATTTATTTACTACTAAATATAAAACTATCTTCTGTATATTTATACATATCATCACTTTTGGACTACTAGGTAATACAAAAAGGATGAAAATTGACAATTTCTTAAAATTAATTTTTTTTTACGTGAAAAATTAATTTCACTTAACACATAAATATGTCGTGAAGCATCTAATCTCTGATAAATACATTAATATTTTAATGTACATTTAATAATAAGTGATGAGTAATTAGATTATATTACAAGATCAAGTTCTATACATTGTAGTTAAACTACTAATTTATTTTGTTTTTATACAAATCAATTTTATTTCTATATAATGTATTTATTTTTTATGCAAAGTAGTAAACTACTAATTTATTCAATAAATTTATCCCTTATCACAATAAAAGGTTAGAAGTATTTGTATCACCTATTCCTGTAAAGATCGAAAACTGTTTATATTTTCTGTCTGTTATTGTGGTTAAAAAGAGATCAAACTCTGCAAATAATAAAGTTTCAAAAAATCTCCAAAAAGCGCCTGCTTTAGTGAGTTGTTTGATTATTGTGATATCATTATCTAATAAGAATTTAATTCACCATAATGCGTTATATATTCTTTTCTCAGATCTACTGGTCTTCAAATTGAGAATTTGTTTGATTTAAAACCTAACTCATTTTCAGTTTCGATCTGAATTTGCATTTTTGCCAAGGAGAATTCTATTCTTAATTTTTTGTATAATACCAAGTGTTTTATATTCCACTGGCATTTCTTTTCTCGCAAGTTTGAAAAGAGCAGTATATCCATCAAAAAGACTAAAAAAATGATAAATTCTAAAAAAATTGACCTCTGTATTCACCATTTCTGCAATTGAATTCATCTTCTTCCAGATTTTTGCAATTTGGAAAATACGAAAAGATTTTAACAAAAGTGTTAGAAGGCTGCAGATCTTCTTCTAATGCTTCTACAGACCAATTAGAAAAATCAAAAGCATTTAATTGTTGACAATTTTGAAAAATTGAAATAAATTTCTCAAGACAAAAACTACTTTCTTCACAATAGTAAATAGTTATTTCTTGAAGGCTTGGACAACTCTTGGCAATTGTTTGAATACTTTCAGAATGAAACAAATACTTAATTTTTGCTGACTTTAAATTTTTTTCTATAGAAATAAAAATTTCTCTTAGTTGTAACGCAAAAATAGATAAATTGCTAATCTCAAGTTTTTGTAAATCTATAATATTAATAGTAGTTATTTTTGAAACTATTGGTGAATAAACGGTGACATAATCAATACTCAGTGTCAAACTTTTAAGTTTTGTGGTTT